ACTTGTAAATTTTGAATTTGGGAGAGAATTCGCTGTTCCAAAAATAATCAGGAACAGTACAAAGAAAGTTTTGGTTTTCCTCAAAAAAGTGTTACGTTTTGGAAGAATCTTTTTCCTAAAAAAGTAGACTTGACGACTTTACTACTCAAAGGCTTTTAAGCACGCTTTTTTAATTTTCTTATTGTAGTTTAATGGAATTACTAAAGTTAATGGAAAAGTCGGCTATAATACCTGAGTATTCCGATTATTATGTAATTTTAAATATAATGAAAAATACACCAAAACAAAAAAAATTGATTAATTAAGATTTTTCAACAAGCATCAAAAGAAATCTTAAGAAATGGCAAAAATTAGTCAGTAAATCCACATTTATATATATATATATTTTAATTGTATTTAGGTAAATCAGAGATCAGATATGAGTGTATCGCAAATTGAAAACAAAAGACAAATGCTATAATGCAAGAGATTGAGGCAAAAAGGCAAAGATTAAATGAGTCGAAGGAAGAAATAACATACGAGCAACCGATATACAAGTATGTATGTATGTATGTATATAAATTTAAATACATACATATATACAATTAAGAGCCTGAATGTCATAAAGTGAGAAAGACGGACAGATAATAACAACACACAAAAGCGAACACACAACAGATCGGAGCGCTACAACAATGTGAGCCAAAATTGTAGAAGCATTAAAGCAAAGGAAGAGGGAACAAGCGAATACGAATACAATAAGATGGAATTAATTGTCTTCTTTTGCTCTGCCATGCTCTTTCTTCGCCACTACATACAAAAACATATACATATGTGTGTGTGTGTGTGTTGGCATTTAAATGTATTTGATTCGAATTCTTGAGATAAATTCAAGTTATCCCTACGACATTCTTTGATTGCGGTGTGTTGCATGGTGCAGAGTGAATATAAATCGACATTTAAAGGATGTTTCGTGCGAGATACCTGCATGCACCGCTTGGAAATAATAGCGGTGTCATGCACAAAAACAAAAGCAAATATAAGAAAAAAATTAAAAGAAATCGAAAAAAATTAAAAAAAAAAAACAAGCAAGAATTTTGTAAAAAATAAGAAAAGGAGACTCAGAGAATCAGGTTTGATAACAAATGAAGTTTTTATTTTTAAATATGATTTGCCGCTTGATAGGCGTGGCATGATTAACACAAGAAATGAAAAAGGCTAGCTTTGTTGCGCAGATAACATTATAATTGTATAGATATTTATTTCTATATTTTCGAGATTGATTATAAACCTGCTTTATTTAATATTTTTTTACGAAAAAAAACTACCTACAATTGCTGAGTAGACAGTCTAGTAATCAAGTCCACTCGTGCATATTAAAATAATTACATTTAATTAGCTGTGTTCGCACTCTCGCCAATGAATATAAAATTTTTCAAATATTTGCTGTCAAAATTTCGCAATTTGCGTTTGAATGAGTGAGTTCAGCGTAAGAAATGGGAAATGCGGAAATATCATTAACGCTGCGTCCGCGCTATATATGTATGTATGGCTTGTTGTAATTTGATGAGCATTGGAAATTAGACGCCTGTCAGAACGATTGTATTTGCAATTCATTTGCCATAAATTAAAGCAAATTTCTGTGAAACTCTGCGAAGTGAATTAGCAAGGTTTTGGTAATTTTACTATTCACACATACAAGTTGCGGAAGAGATATCATAAAGTATTATATATGAAAAAAATTGCTTTTCGTGCGAAATATTATACTTTTATTCAATTACAGACATATGGTTGCTGAGAAGTGTGTAGGTTAATGAAAAGCTAATCTTAATAAATTTAATATTTGAAATTTAAGTAATTTTGCATATCTCAAATGCTGTGAAAGAAAATCTTTTTAAAATTTATTTTATATATCATGTAAAATTATAATTTCTTGCAAAATGATATGCCATAGGCTTTTTGTCACCAGTTATATTCTTATTAGATTAAGTCTAGTTTCCCTCACAGAAATTTTCGAAATTGGAGACATTTTCATATGCCCAACCCGACAATAATATTTCGTTTATTAAACTGTAGTGAAAGTCTGTAATACCTATTAATAATGAAATCTTGGAAAAAATTGTTTATCGATTCGGTTAACGGTTAAGCCTTGTTTAAATCAAACAGTCCGGGTCAACTTTGATCATATGGTATATATTATGAAATCTACCTCAATAACATTAATATTAAACCTATTTTTCTTATGATCGACATAAGTAGCTAGCGAATAATTATCACAAAAAATTACTTTTCAAGCAGTTTTTAAAAGTTGCTTAGCAAAAAATAATTTTGATGTGCTGTTCTATAATAATTTTATACAAAATTTTGCTGAAGAAACAACTGTTAGTAAAAATTTGTAGCAACTTTGTCAAGCAAATAAATGCTTTAAATAGAAATATAATATAGTCAACAAAAATATTGTTGAATTGGTGGGTGTCTTCGCTAAAACCATAGAAAAATATATATTTCTTAATAAACATTTATTCTACAGTCATGTTTAAGCAAAACTCGTGAACTAATATTTCTCTCAAATCTTAAACGCCATTTCTCAACCATTTCTCAACACCTTCTCAACAATTTTTCAACTGGAGAAGCATAGTTTTCTCAATAAAATGAGCAGTTTTATGTATTTTAGTAATTGTATTTAGAAAATGATAGTTTATGGATATAAGCTATCTTAAATGTCATGCGATTCAAAAAACTTTCCAAAGAAATGTTTTCTAAGTGTTCGACATAAATTATATAAATATACATTTTTAAATGCATAGAAACGTCTTTTAATAGTTATTTCCTTTAAAAAAGAGAATTATATCCACTTGTGAATTTCAAAAAACGTTTCTATTTTGCATATATGGTATATGGAATAGGTATATAGTATTTGAAAATATTTTCCGAAAATTTAAAGAAGATTCGGCAAAAGGTTTTGGAGGAGAGGAATTTTTCAACTAAGTGTAATCACTCACACTCGTTTTAATTTGGGAAGCCGTCCTCTTGTCAAAAATAAAATTTTAACAAGTTCTTCAATCATTACATTTATTTATATTAATTGGCTTAGTATTTTTTTATTCTGGTTTTTGCAGCTGAGACATTTTCAGCAGATAACTATTTCTCCCCGCCGGACGCCTTTTTTCGGAGGTCCTTCCGGATATCGGCTACAGGGTCAGAATCACAGAATATGAAATAATATAAGTTTCTATTAATGTATACTTATATATTTATTTAAAAAAATGTTTTTCTTAGAAAAAATTCACGAAAAACGCGTTTTTTCTGACTAGCAATTGGATATAACCCCTTAAAAAATGTACCTTTGAATGAAATTTGAGGGCAAGTTTTGAGCAAACGTTCTTCTGAAATACTCTTATATGATTTTCAACAGTTTCTTAATAATTTTTTAAATAAAAAATCATAGTATTTGCCAAAGAATAAGCAACTTAATTCATTTAAATAATATTATTTAGAAAATGATAGTTTAAAATTTGAACTCAAATATGTTTTATTTAAATGTTTGTATTAGTATGATTAAATTTGAATATTCCAAATCTTAATTGCGCCAAAAACTAACACAAATAACTAATTGACAATTAGTAATTTAAATTATTTGAATAATTTCTCGGACTATCTAATTTACGCAGTAGGTTAACTGAGTGTGTGTGAACAGCAAATGATTCAATTTGTAAATTAATTGTCTCAGCTAATTGAGCTGTTTTGACATTGCATAAGTGTAAAAATTGCAGAATGAACTCAGTTTTTTGTTCAAATATGTTATTTAATTAAAATATTGAATATAACCATGATATGCATCTGAAGATATGATATATATGTACATACATATATTCGAAGAAAAGTGAAATTTTTTTAATTTTTGTTGCTAAATATACTAATATTAATAAAACAATTTAAAATTAAATTTTTATAGCTTGAAATTCAGAATATAAAATTTTTTTGTTTATTTATTTATTTGTCATAAAAAAATGACAATAAAATCATATCATTGCAAATAATTTTCCATCAAGATATTTGATTAGCTGCAAGGCTACTTTAACTCATACAACCAGTTATAAAAAATAAGGTGCTGCCGCATTTTATTTTTGTCATAAAAGTATATAAAAGTTTAGTTTATGAAAAAGGTAATTTAATTTAATTTTTAGTTTTATTATTTTGTTTGTGTGTATTTTTGTTTTTGTAATTTTTATTATATTTTTTAGATTTTTATTGCGAAATATTTTTATGATTCTGGGTGCGTTTATAGAGTTTAGCCATAAAGTCTCAGAATTTGCATATTTACGTAAGTGTAGGAGGTTTGAAATCTAGGTAAATGGGTTTTAGCAAGAATTATTGCTAATTTAGATATATGTCTACATATATACATAAATACATATGTATTTTTATGTTCACAAGTCAAAATAATTAAACGTGATTTTTGAGATTTTGAAGTATGCAGTTTAAGGGTGCAGGGTGGTAACTAAATTAGTGTTTTTCAAGCGTAAGTTTTGGCCAGTTTTCCAAACGGAGCTTAAGCAAATACAATATATATAATGCAAGTCGGGTTTGTTTTTGATTTCTGTTTTAAGCTATCGGAACTCCAATGATATATTTATATTACTGTCAACTATTTGAATAGGAAAAAAAAAATTTTTAGTTTTTGTTTCAAAATAACAAATTTTTTCCCAAACAAATTTTTTAAATAATCAAAGAATATATCTATAAGAAAAAAATTTTCCAAAAATATCATTGGGAAATGTTTCTGAGTGAAGTTATCATGTAAGTTTTGAAAAATCAAAAAAAATTGTGTTTATTAAAATTTTTAAGCTCCTTTTCGGCCACAAAATTTCAATGACTACGCTGCAAGAATAAACATTTTTACTCAAGTTTTAATTAGAAAAACGAGTTCTACCCACATTTAAAAGTGTTTTCCCACTTAAATATTTTACACTGAAAAAACGACAAATTTACTACTTAATTTGCGCGAAAAACAGACTTACTTTTTTATTAGCAGTAAAATCGGAATAGCTGCCTTTTATTGCCGCTCTTGTGCACGCGCTGCGCTATGACGATATCCTTGACCAACTTTAGGCCACTTTAGTCAGCTAAATGCAAGCTATTTATAGTTTTGCACAATTTATAGATTTAGTTATTGTTTTATAGTTTAAATCATTTTGTTTGTTTGCTGGCTTGCTTTTTTCGTATTTTATTTTGCCGCAAAAATTAGATCTCACACGTGATTTCCAGGTAATTTCGTGTGCAATCAGCGAATTTATTTAGTTCCTACAACTGTTTAGTAGCATTGTGTTGATTGCGTGTTTTGATAAAAATTTAATTTTATTTGTTTTTGAATTTAACGCATTTGGGAAATGGAATTTTCTTAGTTGCACGTGCGCTTGAAATTTTTATTATTGATGTTTTTGTGTATAAATTTTTTTTATATAAATTTGTTTATTTATATACATTTATGTTTTGCTGTTTAATTTTGTTTTTTTCTTTCCACTAATTTTCGTCATTTATTTACACTGTAAATGTTTACTTTTTTTGCTTTTGGTCTGAAAAATATTCTGTAGTTTTCTGCTGCTAAAAATTAAATTTTTATATTTTTAGTTATTATTTGTTATTATTTTTAAAATACATTGCACAGTAAATTTATTTATTTTCAATATTTCTGAAATCACTTATTACGCTTTGCTTGGCACAAAGCCGTTGTTTAACTGTTACACATAAATAATATGATGCTATATTAGCGCAATAGCTTGTTGTCTAATATATTTAACGGAATTTCGTGTATTCCTGTTAGTGTTTGTTGTTCTAAAAATATTAGAATTTTTTTAGGTAATTTTTTTCTTTATTTTAATTAATTATTATTTGTAATTAGTTTTTTGCTAAATTGTTTTCTTTTTGTGTTTTTTTAGTTACTTTCTTAAAATTAATTTATTTTGATTAATTAATTTTTAAATTTTTTTAAATTAATTAATTTGTTTTAATTTAAAAGTATTATTTAATTTAGTTTTTTTTTTGTTTTCAGTAAATTCTCTTTTTTATTACTTTGTTTTAATTAATTCATTTTTTTTTACTTAAATTCTTTTTTTTTAAGTAAATTTAATTTATTTCAATTAAATTGTATTTTTCGCAATGAAATTTTTAATGAATATTTTGTGATTTTACTTGAAGTTTTATTAAATTTATTTTTACTTTAGTACTCAAATATTGTTAGTTTTTTTGTGCCTTTTGCTTGATTTTATTTAAAAAAAATTTTTTTGTTATTTAAATTTTATTAATTTTTTTTACTTAAGTTTTAATTATTTTATTTTTATATTCAATTTATTCACAACACTTTAACGCAATTAAATTGCTTTTTTTCTAGTTACAACTACAACTTTTTGTTTATTATTATCTTTGTTTTTTTATTTATAATATTTATTCTAGTGCTTTGTTTTAAGTTTCATTTCCTTGCACTTCTCACGCTTGGCATTTTACTACCGCTGTGCGGGTTGTTGATAAGCGTGAATTTGTGCGCGTCTTTCGTTGCGAAAGTCATCATTGCAATCAAATACAAGCAGATTAACGAAAAAATAATGTTGCTTTTATTTTATTTTTTTTTTGCAAAATTTTTTATATGTTAATATTTTTATTAGTTTTTAATTTTTTTCTATTTATTTTTATTTTTTCCTTTAATTTTTTTTTAATTTTTAATTATTAATCTCTGTGTTTTTTAGCGATTCCCTTGCTTGTCTATCTCACTAAAATTTTTATTTTCACAACTTTTTCTGATTTTTGTTTTTGTTGTTGCTTTTGCAGTATAAAAACAGCTTGTTTATGCGTGATAGCGATTAATTCAAACCAATTGTGTGCTCATAAAATTTTACGACACGATTTTGTTTTACAATTCTTTATTGCAAGTTTTTAAAATATTTTTTCACTTTGCTAGTTTAGCTGCGACTGATAACAACACTGATTGTATGCTTTACTCTGCCTGCGTTATGCTATGTTTATGTTGTGCTGTTAGTTTACGCGCTTGTACTCACGCTGATTGATAAGCGGCAAAAAAGTGAAAATTCAAACAAATAAAAATAACGGTTATCCTTTTTTATTTTTTCTTTTTATTATTATTTTTTTTAATTTTTTTTTGTTTGTTATTTTTTCAACGTCGTGGTAGTTTGTTTATTCACAAATTTGCTGACTTTTTTATGACTCTTATTCCTCTGCAGTATTTGTTTATGCCGTTGCGTGTGGCGCAACTCTCGGTTGTTAAGCGGAAATCGTGCTTCTTTCGTATTTCATAGTCTGTGCATTTTTTTCGTGTTTATTTCAAGTATTCTTTTTTTGTTTTTTGCTGTCGGTTTCACTGCATTAGCACGCGAATTCGCCTAAATATATACACTGGCAAATGAACACGTACACACACACACACACGCGCATACACATATAAACCGCCTAAGCTTGCTGGCACACGTGAGTACGACTTCCGCTCATAAGCTATATTAGAAAGCAGATTGTGGATTTCGATACTGATGCGCCTGTTATTTTGTTTCTAATAAGCAGTTTTGCCGTGAAATCACTCAAAAATTGCTCGCACACACACAATTCGTTTGATTTGTAGTTGCAGCGCTTGCTTGTACGTGCGTTATTATTGTCTGAAAGCCGGCAAACAGTAAATGCTGAGCACTGGGTGCTTGCAAATTTTATTATTATTTAGAATTTTTTTAAATTTTTCGAAATTCCTCTAATTTTCAGAAACGCAGAATTTCGAGAATTTTTTTTTTAAATTAAATTTTTTGTTCAACTTCACTCTTTCCAGCTTTTTTGGTTACTTCAAAACTCATTTATCCAATAATAATTCTTCTACTTCTGCTGCTGTTACCTCGTATTCTTAATCTGCCCAAAATCCAAAGTAAATCTCTGTTGTTAGTTGTTGTTATTGTATACGCTATTATTTAAAAGGTCGTGCTGCGTCGAGCTTGATTTGTTGCTTGCAATCAATGCTTACTTGCTGACTTTTTTTGATTCTACACTTGGTTGGTTATTAGTTGTCTGTTATGCCTTGTCTGTTCTGTTCGGCGGAATAGTATGACGCGCACACCGACGTTTTTCGTTACGTCCTCGAGGAATCGCAGAATGAATCTGAACGTGCCGTCACCGCTGTGTCAGCGCCAAGCGAAGCCAAGTGTACACGAACGTACGCTAAAGTTGTATGCTGTTCAACGTATGCACAAGCATATTTACGTACATATACACACATATATACATACACTCAAATATACATATATATACACACAAATATTACATGCACAATTTATAAGTTTGTTTGTAGTCAACGTGCCTGTATTGTATCTTGGCGTTTGTTATGTGTGTGTCGCGCTGCTTGCGTTCGCTATGCATACACTAACACATACATATAGTTATCAGCCAGTCTGCCCCCTCCACCCTTCCCATTGCTCTGTGTGTATATGTGTGCAGTTAGTTGGCTCTGGCTTGTTGTTGCGCCTCTTGTTCATGGCTGCGCGCCGCTGAGAGTGTGAGTACGGCGAGGCAGCAGCGATAGAGGCAATGATAGTGGCGTTGGCAGTGAGTGTGGCGGCGATTGTATGGTGGCAAAGAGACGCGAAAATTGCGCTCGCTTCCTCAGCATAGTAATCAACGTACAGTGGAATATTTTCGTTTGAAATGTTGTGGAAAATTATTTGGAGTTACAAATTAACTGTATGTACTTGTATATGGTTTATAAGATACATTTTACAAATAATTATTTTATTATTTTTTAAGAGAGAGATCAAATAGTGGTGAGTGTGCGGCTTGGCATAAATGCATCAACAAAATACCTGTTTGTTGCCGACTATGTACGTGAATATGTGTATGTGTGTGTGAATGGTTTGTTGACATTCTCGCTGAGCGCTCTCGAGAGCTCACACAAGTCGAAGAAACGGCAGCAAGCAGCAAGCGCAGCTAGACAACTTACTACGGAGAGTATTAAAATTTAGAAACAACGAACCAGGTGGCGCTGGCGCTGGCGGGCTGCAAAGTGTTTGTGAGCGCGGCCGGAGCGTAGCATGTGTGAAGACTGAATGAGAGAAAACAAGCGAAGCAGTGCGCACACCAGAGCCGCAACAAGAACAACAACCACTTTATGCGGACCCCACTTGCGTTAGTGTTGGTCGCTACAGTTCGGCTATCAGGTGAAATGGATGGTCTCGTAGTGTGTTGGTATTGGTGTGGTGCGGAGAGTGTGGTGTGGTGATGACTAGCGCTTTGTTGGTGTTAGTGCTGGTGGTGGCCATTGTGTTGAAGATTCTGTGTACAACAGGATGACTTGGAGTGCAAGTCGCATCCGAAATACATGTTATTGGGCGTGTGTGTGTTGTTATTGTTGAAGGAGGCCGCGCTCGCAACGTGAGGGTATTTCATTAACAACAACAACAACGGCAACAACAAATAAATAGAGGACAACAATAAGCCAGCGAACTCTAATATGAGGAACATAAAGTGGAGACGTCTACTTGCAGCAAGCAGCAGCGCCAAGCGAAATATAGCACAACAACAGCACAACATTTAAGGATGCCATTGCAGTCGGCAGCGTGCAGCGAGCAGCCGCATAAGACGAAGATGGTGGAAAGGAAAATCGTTGGAAAACAGTAAACGCAACAAAGAGAATAGAAAATTCGTTGGCGAGCATTTAAGCGCAACAACGCATCGCTTGCTGGCTTGCCACAAATATTGACCATTGCAACGTATTTTGTTGCACATTTCGACACGGCAACTTAAAGAATTCGTGCATGTTGCATATTATTTATACATTGCGTTGTGTGTAATTATATTTATGTATTAATTTTAGAGATATTTTTCTATATTCTACACTTACTTGAGTTGGTTGTATGCATATTTTAGTTGAGTTGTGAGTGAGAAACTTACCTGAAAATATAAAAATAAAGATTAATAAATTTTGATATAAAATTATTTTCTGAAAGTACATAGATGCAAAAATATTTTTTATAATTTTCCATTGTTTGAAATTTTTTCAATAGAAGAGATTTTATATTTAATGATAATAATATATATATTTTATTTTTATGAAAAATAGATATAAATAAACAACACTACTTTCTGTGTACATTTTGAGGCTCCTTTGCGGCTTTTAAAACAATCTAATAATGCGTTAAACTGGCTTAAATTACCACCGAGAGGCAGATTTGGCAAGCTGCCTAAAAATGATTTTGGGAAATTAATAAGAAAACTCCTTATCAATTTATTTAAAATTTTGAGGGTAGATTTCAATATACTTTAAGAATACACAGTTCAAATTTCTGATGAAAAATATTATATTTTTGAGTAACACGCAATCTCCGACGGCACTAAAGAGGCTCCACTGCTGCAGTGATTCCGGCTTATTTGTGGTAGAAACCATTAAAAAGTTCCTACTGGAAGATGTTGTTCGAAAATTTAAAAATTTCGTCGTTTTGAAAAATTAAATTGCAATCAAAACTTTGGTCGCCATTGGTCCGCAAAATGGATTTTGATTAGATAAAACTGGAAGACATTGTATGAAAACTATATACAGAACATGCAGCAAGAATTTGACAGCGATCGAATCATTTGACTCCGAGCAGTCACTCAAGCAAATTTGCAACCATTAGTTTGAAAAACGCGTTTAAAGGTAAGCTGATAGAGTTGATTGAACCGAGCGTCCACATAGAACCCTGCAACTCAAAAACTATTTGAGATATCGATTTACATTTTTATTTTATTTTTAAAGTCATAATTATGAAATACGCAAACAAATTTTTGTAAATATGTGCCACTTAAGATCATAAAATTATTTATTATTTTTGAACAAAATTTGTTAAAATAAATTTACTCGACCATTTAACATATGTACCAGAATGGACCCAGGAGATCGAATTATAGGCATAAATTTTATTTATTTTAGAAATATTAAGATAATAAAAATTTATAAATATTTTCCAGAATCTTGCAAAAAGATAGATTTGATTGAATAATTTTATTTCTTTAAACACTTTTTAAGGGAAAATATTAATTAAAAACTACAAAATTTAGAAAAATTAAACTATAAATAACAGGTAAACACATTTGCAAAAATTTTTAAATTTAGATAATTTTACACCTTAAAAATACTTTTCATGCCAAAACAAAACGCCAGCTGTTACTTTCTAAGCTCATGCACACATATTTACAATAATAACTGCACATTGTGCTCGCTAGTCAGTGATGTGTATGCAAAATCAATACTTTCTTATAAACAAAACACGAAAAAAAAAAGAGAGCAAATAATATTTAATATATGAGGTAAAAATAAAAGCTCATATAATGGCTGGTGGCAGAAAATTACGAAATTTACGTTGTTGCTATTTACAGCAAAGTGTGCTTCATTTTAAATTACACATATTATTTTTTTTCGTTTTCTTTGTGTTCATTTTCTGCTACAACATTGTCCGCCCCACCCACAAAAGGCGCGCATTAAACGTGCTGTCGCAATATCGGTTGGCAACGCAGTTCTCCTCGTCATCAGCGTCGTCGTCGTTGTCGTGAGCGCTGCCAACGTCGCTGCATCATTACAAATTTCAATTTTGTTTATTATTATTTGCTTATTTACTTTTATGCTATTATTCTGTCCTCATTCCACCATTGCTTGTGCGCATTCTCATAACTTTGTATGGATGGCTGGTAGACTTGCTTGTTGTTGTTGTTGTTGTGACCACACGCTTCTTCACCTTCTACTGCTGAGCGCTGATAATGTCTTCGTTGTGGAGCGCTGATTGGTTTTAATGTTTATTTTAAATTATTTCTATGTCTTAAATTTTGTAGATGTTATGTGAATTTTAGTTCGCACATATTTGATTGAGTTCCGATTTAATTGTTTGATTTAATTTACTTAAGTTATTTTAGTTTAATATAAATATATTTATTTGATTTTATTTGTAATTAAATTAATATTATTTTAATATAATTAATCTTATAATTTTGATTTAATTTTATTAAATCTATTTCCTTTATATTTAATTAATTTATAATGATTTTGTTCATTTCGGTTTTGTCCTATTTTATTTAGTTTTGAATAATGTTTTTAATTGATTTTATTATTCTTTGCTTGGTTTTGGTTTAATTATTTCTAATTAAATAATTTTACTTTAATTAGATATTATTGGAATTTATTTAGCTTTAAATTTTTTGATTTAATTTAATTTTAAGTTTATAAATCTATTTTCATTTGTATTAATTAAATTAGATTTTATTATTTTAATTTAATTTAATTTTATTTTATAACAAAAATTTATTTTAATTTTTATTTTATTTCTTTTTTGTTTATTTTGTATTAATTATTTTATTCTAATTATAATGAATCTAATTTCATTTAATTTACTTTATTTAAATTCATTTAATTTTATTTATATTATGTGAATTTAATTAATTTTTTTATTTTATTTAATTTTAATTTAATTGTAATTTAATTTTAATTTTAATTTCAATTTTAATTTTAAATTTAGTTTTATTCTTAATATTAATTTTAGTTTTATTCTTGATTTATTTTTAATTTTAAGAACTATTTATTTATTTTAAATTTGAATTAATTATTCTCGTTAAAATTTCTTTGTCTTTTAGCATTAATTAACATCGCCTCGGTCGCTCCTTAAATATTTGTTTACTTTATTTTCTCTTATTCTCATATTATATCCTCATCTTTCATCTTTTTTGCAAATTTGTTATTTTACTCTTGCAACATGCTGATACAGAGTATAATAGTTTTGTTCACCTAACGGTTGTTTGTTTCACCTAGAATATATAAATGATCAGGATGATGAGATGAGTTGAAACCAGGGTGATTATCTGTCTGTCTGTCCGTACAATCGACGACTTGAGTAAAATTGAGATACTTGATGAAACTTGATACACATATGTATTCTTGACACCAGGAGGTTGGTATGCAATAGGTGTAATCGGACCATTACACGCCCACAAAGCGACGTTAAACGAAAACTTTAAAGTGTCATAACTAATTCGCAAATTAAGATGCAAAACTGTAATTTGATACAAGAGTAGTATCTTTCAATCCATATAGATATATCCATTTTATCACCCTTCGAACTCTGAGAAAATGGGTAAAATCGGATAATAAACCAAGCATTCCCATGTATCGTTTATGTTGAAACTGCTAAAAGACCTATAACTCACT